TAGCCGTTTTTTTCATTTTCAAAAATAAAAAATCGATGCACCCTAGTAAACACACAACTCAATAAACTTATGTATCGATATTGTGGATGAAAAGTAAAAAAAACTAAACAATTCGTTGATGCATGTTATTTGATGAGATCGGCGCAATTTGAAACGTGATTCGATGAACAGAATCACAACTCTGTATTAAAAACTTATTTCGATAAATGCTTATAATTATTCGATTTCGAGTAGTGCGTATTTTTGAATAGTCATGAATAGGCACAATATTTGATTTTGTCTCCATATGAAATCAGAATTTGCCGTTCTGTTTATGAATGTTTATTCTACGCACTATTCCTGGAACACATAACAAATAAACGATGCATACGAAAATAAATCCGAAGGCATATCGTACAGTAAACCCCGTATCGAATGGGACCAATTTTTTTTCCGTTATTCACACGATTTCCGCATGCAACGTTCCGGTTTTACCGTATTGGCAATCCTAACACTAAAAATACAAGCGCACAATGTGAGTAGTTTAAAGTATTTGTATAAAGTTGAAAAGGCAAAACAATTGTTTCATGGGATCATCGTTAGTGTTTGGAATTAAGATTGTTCAGTAAACGCAATGGTTAATTTTCAACATATATAAACAGAATGCGAATTGTTTCAAAATGGATATATATCGCGTACAGTAAAAAATAATATCATTCCGCGCTTAGCAGTCATATCGTTCACATAATTCAAATACAAACATTCGATTGTATTTCAAAACCAGTAAAAAAAAACACTTTGATTTTACTTAGTCAGACTTCAGTTGATGAAAAAGAATATTCTACATTCCATTTATTTTTAAAAAGTGCGATCATATTTGCGAACAATTCAATCTTGATTTAATTATAATATTGAAGTGGCAAAGTGTGAATATGAATTTTTTATGTTAATTTGTGAAAATTTATGTGAAAATTCTGTAAAAATGATTTTTTCAATGTTGTGTTATATTGTTTTTGGTTCGATTGTGATTGGATTCTGTTACCTTACTGTACAGTTCTCATACTGGTGGCGCAAGAAAGTTCCATTCGTCGGTCTAAAGTTTCCGTTTATATTCGGGAGTATTTCACTTGACAAACATCTCGCTCTTCAATTTGCCGACTTTTATCAATCCAATCGAAGAGATCAACCAATAATCGGATTTTTTTTAATGGACAAGCCATGTTGCTTGATGATAGATCGCTTGATGAACGTTACACGTTGTATATTAACGGAAGATTTCAAATATTTTCGTAATCGGTGTATGTATAACAACGAAAAGGATGATCCGCTATCAGTAATTTTGGGAAGTTTGGAGCATGATAAATGGAAGCAACTTCGACCAAAATTAACTCCAGCCTTTACATCGGCGAAAATGAAGAGAATTTTTCCAATTATGTGCGCCGTTGGAGATAAACTCGTTGACGGTTTAAAGAAAAAAATCATATCAACTAAGAATCAAGTGGAAATCCGCGACTCATTCAGTCAATTTGCGACTAATGTGATTGGAACGGTGGCCATTGGCATTGAATTTGGAACGAAATCACAAGAAATGGCAAAAAAGGCAATGAAACCACATTTGTCACATTGGAAAAAACTTCTCACAATTGCGCATCCAAATTTTGCGAGACTCTTTCGCATTCGAAAACATTCAAAAGAAGTTTCGGATTTTTTCATGAATGTTTTTCAACAGGTAGCCTGCAACTAGTCTAATGCAACAAATGTTTTGATTTTAGATGATCTAGTTAAATTAAATGTATTTAATTTCTTCAACAGGAAATTGAACGTCGTCAGAAATCTCAAACAAATGTCCCACGAAACGACTATCTGCAAATTTTAATTGAATCCGAATTGACAACGCAAGAAATCTCAGCTTTTGCTTATGATCTACTTTCTGCAGGCTACGGCGATTCCACAGCAACACTGTCATATTGTTTATATGAATTGTCATTGCCAGAAAATAAGAATATCCAGGAGAAAGCACGGACCGAAATTTCGTCCATTTTGGAACAACACAATGGACTTTTAACATACGACGCACTGAATGAAATGGTTTACTGCAAACAAATAATAAAAGGTAGAAAAAACGAAAAAAAAAAGTCGGACGTTATTCAAAACTTTTTATTGTTTTCAGAAACTGTGAGAAAGCACCCAGTTGCCGGGATTTTGACTAGAATTGCAACAAAACCGTATAAAGTTCCGAATACAAATCTAACGATTCCACGAGGCATGTGTGTTTTCATTCCAACATTCGCAATTCATCACGATGAACAATTTTACCCACGACCAGAAGAATTTATTCCGGAAAGATTCTCACAAGATGTCTCTCCCCGGGAATATTTGCCGTTTGGTGATGGTACGTATATGAAACACTGCCACTTTGTTCACTTACAAATCAATAAAATCTTTTCTTTATTTCATTATTTTCAGGTCCCAGAAAATGCATCGGCTTTCGATTTGCAGAACTTCTCATCCACGTGGGGTTGGTGTCGTTTTTGCAAAATTTCAAATTCTCAACGTGCAATCGAACTCAAATACCGATCAAATATTCAACAACAAAAAATACACTGGTTCCGAATGATGGCATATGGCTGGATGTGCAACAAATTTAACCGATAAGCCTAAAAAAATACATGTAAACTGTATCTTAGTCACTATTATTCAACATATTGCATACAGTAACTGATCATTACTTTTATTTATCATTACTTAAAAAATAGAATGTTATGAATTCTATCTATTTATACAAGCAATCTATACTTCGTTTATTCATATCAAATGTAACATTGTAAACACAGTGGTTGAAATATGAATCGATTATAAAATTAAACAATAAAGCAACTATTTTATAAAAGACAATGAAACTCGAGTAATTTTGCTTTCTCCATGATTCATTGAGAATTATTTTATTTTATTTTCAACAACAACAAAAACAACAGAAAAAAAATCCATTTTACGTTTAAGTTTATATTTCAAACAATTTGTTTTGAAATGTCTTGAAAAAAACTTACAAATTGCAATAATGTCTGGTTCTTCAGTCAAAAGTGTCATTGTTTAAATTTCTCGACGAGTACTCGTAATATTGATTTTCTTTCAACACCTTCAAACGTTTTGTCAACAATATTTAAATTTTGCTATCGATTGATAAGCATGCTTTCAAAATATAATCAAATATAATGCAAAAAAAAACATTTCTCTGCTTATTTACAATCAAAATATAAGACAATAACGTAAATATTGAAAATGTGAAGAAAAATATTTACGCAGACGGTGCTACGAAAAAAATATATAACAAAATGGTACGCAACAATAAAAAGAGGAGCAATAGCAGCCACGTGATATAGACGATGTCGCCAAAATCCGGCAATTCCGAATATGACACTATCCGAATAATAGTGGAATCGTGATAATAATATTATTTATTTATACAAGAGTCATGCGGTGTGTCTTTGCCTATGCATGCACCCACCCATTCGTACTATACACACAGAGTTCAATACACGTTCCGATTTAATATTAGTGTCGATTTTCGATGCACATTTTCCCAATCAGTGTGTTCAACACTCGTTGCCTGCAAATACAGTTTTCCGTATTTAGTTTCCACTGCGAGCGATATGGTTTTTTCTTTTTTTCGAAATATCATTCACAATGAAAAAATCCAAAATCCGGTAGCATGACTGAACTCAGCTTCTGGAATGGTGGAAATATTGAAAGGCGATGAGAGAAGAAAAAATATACAATAAAACGGAATAAAAATCATAATAATACAAATAAACGTCAGATTGAGCAGTGATAAAGCGATTTAATATTTTTAGATGGATTTTGGATTTCATTTTGATGTTACACACTGCTGCTGCCACTACTTTGCGGAGTAAGAGTTGTTCATTTCCTTCAATATGGTTATGGTTAAAATGAAAGGAAAATATTATATTTAATTTAATTAATATTGTGTCAATACGCGCAGCTGTTTCCGATTTCGAAACGATGGATTTCGCCACCAGATTCCATTCGAATGTCATTTCCGTACGATGTCGTTGGAACGCTCTTCTTCTCACACTGAATAATAATAAATCAATGGTTTTTTTGCTATTCTTCCTTTCTCTGGTGGCATTAAAACCGTTTACTCTCGTTCAGGTTGGCATAAAATGTGTCTGTATTTCTTATTGATTACCTGTCACTAGACTCATTGATTGACATTCAACAAATATGAATTGAGAAACTGAACGTGGTTCCTATTTATAGCGAAGATAATATTGAATCGACGGCACTGTTGCGAAAATTTTTATACGATAATGCAATATCGTTCGAATATGTTGGATAGACGTTGAATGTCAATTGATAGATAAAACACAATGCCCAAAATACAATTTGTGGATAAAACAATGACTTTTTTGAAATGGTCTATTGAATTCTCTCTCTTTCTCCCACACATACACACACACTTATCATCAATATGACTGTGGATTACTCATATTAATACAACTTTTTTTTGCTATTTATCGCAGTCAATAGAAAAAAAGGAAATATTTCAAACCATTTATTTTACTAATACGCAATAATGTTATTAATAACACAATGGATCTTGAGATAGCTTCCATTTAATAACAGTTAGCAGCATCATCAAAATTGTGATACAGAGTAGTGATAAGCCTTGAAATAACCATAAAATATCTATGAAATATTGATTTGGAGTGATTTCATATTTTTTTCAATATGTATCAGACAAAAAGTGAGTGCTTAACACCTTTATTCCATTTGTATTGAAATCCAATACACTCTTCACTAATCTTCAATATTTACTTAACAATCACTTGTCGAAAATCAATACTAATACATTTTCGTTTTAAATTCATTAATTTTGCTTTGTGTTATCTGATGTTTTCTATCCAAATCTTATCAACAATTTATGAAAATAGCAATATTCCACAATTTGGGAATACATACACCAATCAATTAATATTTTGACAATTTGGCTCTCTTTCAATATAAATGAAATTATGAAAATGGAACTATGAAAATAATTGAGGTGAAACAACGACAATAAATTCACACAAACATAACGTTCGAGGTTGTGACTCATTTGAAAAAAAAAAAAAAAAATGAATATGGTAAATGCATTTTAATTTGGGAAAAAAATCGCCCGTATTGATGTGAAACTACCGTCAAAATTACGTTTCAATAAATTGTATATGATAAGTTCCATTTTATTAAAATATAATCCGTTAATTTTGTGCTATTTATTTCATTTATTTGAATCAAGCTCGTTCTCTGAAGAATGGCACCGAATATTTATTCCAAATATGATCAAAAGCATCCCTGTATAAATGTTTGACACGACGATTGTTTATGAATGCAACGTTTTCACAATTTTTCGACAGACCCTGAGAAACAAACAAAATGGAATACGATTTCATTAGTTTGAATTAAATTATGAGTATAAATGTTAGAACATACACCATACGTCCAATTAAGAGAACCAGTTAAGAGAAGGCCTTTGGCTGTTGTTCCATCGATGAGACAAAATTTATGGTGCATCAATTTATCTCCTTCTCCTGACACTTTCACGTGTATTCCTGGACAAAATTAAATTTCAATAATATCAAATTAATATCAATTGTTTGTGACAGTTCGTTTACATCTCTCAATGAATTTTTTACCTGCATCTTTCAGTCTTTTGGCTTGCGTTTTACTTTCATTGCTTTCACTCATTGATTTATCGATGATAAGTCGTACTTTAACACCGCGTCGGTGAGCCCTCAAAACACAGTCGGCAATCCGATGATTCGAAAAGTTATACATTGCAATGCAAATTGAATGCTTTGCCGAATTAATGCGATCCATAATTTTCTTCAATAATTTTCCCATGCAATATTTGCGACAATTGTTGTTCGGTGAGGCATTGGCATCATTTGGATTACAACATTGGGGTTCACCCATCATCACAAAATAGACTTCATGATGGTTTATTGTCATTTTTTTATACCAATCATACAGCACAACGAATAAAAGCAACGCAATTATTCCGATCAAAAGTGGCACAATATTTACTCCGTCGTCTGTCATTATGTCAATTGGTTTTGGTTTTGGTTCACACAAAATTTATACAATTTTTTTTAAATAAAAATAGAATAAAATTCGAACGTTATTGCACTTTCAATGAACCGATCAGAAAATAACACAATGTATTTATGGACAAAAGATAATGTACGGCAATTGATTTGATAACACGGTGATAGTTATTGACAATTGATAATATACGTATAATGCTTACTACAAATATACAATTGTAGCACTGTTTGACATTTCATGGAGATCGGTATGTGCGAAGACTCGCAACACTTGGCTATATATAGAAACGGAGCAACACTTACATTGATACGTAGTACGTACTTCGTACACAGTACACACAGTTGTATATTACTTGGTTTCAGTTTATTATCATTCAGTCTGTCTTCGTGCTTCGTGTTTACTAAATAAAACGATCTCACAACACATTTATGATTGTATTGAATGGAATTTTTATTCAAATGTACTGACAATTTAAATAAATAAAATGCTGATAAAGAGAACTAACATTAATATATAGAAATGCCTGTGTAAAATAATATTCAGCGTCGGTTGCAGTTGAGCTCGTATTTCATCTGAACTAAATAATCTGTTTTAGAATATAAGTACTGCTAATAAACACTATAGATGCCTTATAGTACGCGTCTAATTATATATTACATAATTAAATGCACGTAAAGGTGTTCGCCATACAGTGTCGCGATTTTCCCACATGCTGTTGAAATTTTTATTAAATTTTCTTTGAATTTCATCACTTTCAATGAAAAACACATTTTCGGAGTTTTGATTCAAGCCCTAAATTGGAATAAAAGAAGCCAAACTTATCATACATAATAAAAAATAAAAAAATCAAAATCACATACACCATAAGTCCAGTTGAACGATCCAGTGATGACTTTACCGTTTAGTAGCCAATCGTTTGTATCAATTAAACAGAATTTGTGGTGCATTAGTTTTTTCCGTTGGTTTTCTTCTCCGCCAGCCATTTTTATTGAAATTCCTGTTATAAATACAATGATTTAAAATGAACATTAAAAAATATTTGAAAAAAAAAAAAAAAATCTTCAATACTCACCTCTTGAATGGGGCAACTTTGAAAACAAATAATTATCCGTATTTTCTTGTGTTACCATCGATTGATCTACAATAATACGTATTCTAACACCACGGTTACCAGCCTCTTGGATGCTATCAATTATTTTCCGATTTGTCAAATTATACATAGCAATATCAATCGATTTATTGGCGGCTTTAATACACTCAATAATTTGAGCTTGTAGTTTTGCTTTACAATTTTCAATTTTACATCTTTCACTATGATTCCGAAAATTGGTGATATTTAAACAGTTCGGATCACTCATATCAACGAAATGCACATCAACTTTTTGCCTGGATTTCTTCCACATATAAGCAAAAAAAAGAATTACAAAAATTATTATGATTTCCATCGAACCAAAAAACAACGACAATCAAAACACGTTGAAGATGATTTTATTCACTTGGTGTTTATACTTGCAATTCAAGCGAGATAATGGTTGAGTGTCTTGCATAGATGCGGCGTAGTAGCCAGAGAATGAATTTGTCGTTGTAAACAGTAACTCATATGATAACACGTGCATGTGCCGCTTGTAAACAAATTAATGGTGTTGCCATAGTCAAATATCTCATTAAGACATGCAGTTATTTATGTTGACTGTATGTGGACATTCAAAATCAACTAATGACCATTATAACTTATTTTTAAAGATATTGTTTTTAATATTTATTCATACAGACTTGATTGATATGACATTATACATATTTGTTTCATAACAATGGTATTTTTTACTTCATCTTGTCTCTGCCTTATTTTCGAAAGTCTAGGGAATCAACTTTTGCATGTTCGAAGACGGACCCCTATAATCCGAGTACCAGTTTCAACCGGAACATCTGCCCGTTTACCAACACTGGTGAGGTGGTTTATTCCATTTGTTGACATTTTAACCGTTCACATGCGTACTGCACCATCAATTTGATCAGCCAATAAATGGAGAGGTATCTTTCTCCCACATATATTCAAACGCCTGTTTATATTGTTTGATTAGATGTTGATCCGTAAGAAACATTACATTTTCATAATTATTCTTAATTCCCTGAGAAAATAAACATAACCAAAATATATGACATTTGGAAATAAAACAATTTGATTTATATTGCAACATACCCCAGTACTCCAGTTTAATGATCCATTAATAAGTACGCTGTTAGGTGACATCGGATCAATCAAGCAAAATTTGTTATGCATTAGTTTTCTTTCGTCTCCAGCTACTTTAACATTGACGCCTAATATGAGAAAAGACAATTTATGTAACATTTACAAATGGATTTCAATAAATAATTAACATACCAGCTGTTTGTAAATTTCTTGCTGCATTTAATTTTCTTCCATCTTCTATGTCTAATATGTTCGATTTATCCATAATCAATTTTACGTTGACACCACGCAAACGTGCTTTAACAATATTATTAATTAGTTGATCATTGTACATGTTATACATTGCAATGCTTATTGATTTCTCGGCCGAATCAATTTTGTCGATCAATTTTTTCAATAATTTTCCCCAACAATGTTTACTCCTACACACTAAATGTTTTTTTAAATTGTTAGAACTACAACAATCTGGATCATCTGACATTACGAAAAATACATTATCGCGAGGTTTAACGTGGTGGTCATATAGACATTTAGCCAATACACCGATGGCGGTTATTATGGAAATTATCAAAAATATTATTAAATATTCTTTATTATTCATTTTTTCTTCAAAATTATTAGTTGACGAAATATATTTTAATTTGTATATTCACTGAACTTATTACCTTAACTGTTTCTTCTAGAATGATTCAATTTCAACAAATCGTTTTATTTGATAGGACAAGCGATAACAGCTGATTGTGATAAGACGTAATCGACGGTTGGAATTATGAAATTGAACAACAAAGAAAGATGTAAACAAATGATCAGTGTTGCCACAAAATATCAATTGCAGTGCTTAATATGCAACGTACTGAAATTGCATGCAGCTGTCAATGTGCGCTAAGGTTCCATTCATATTAACAATGTGCATAATTAATGGTACTAATTTCAATCTCATTGTGGCAAGAAACGGTTTCAAATTAAAAAAAAAATCACTTTTCATTGAAACGAGAAAAACCACGTCGATACTAGCAAATTGGTGGGGTTCTCAATATATATTCATTTTTCTTTTTTTATATAAATCAATGCAAGAAATAAAATTGTATTAAATCACTAGCCCGAACGATAATTCGACTAATTCGGTTGAGTATCCAGTTTTATTCGTAACGAAATAGCAATTAGCGTAATCATCATCGTCATTGTTCTTACAAAAAGCGTGATGACATGGACTTTTCCTAAGATACAAGAAACACACACTTGATTAACTGCAAATCGAATGCAAAAACACTTGCCCGTTGTATTTTTCTCTCATCTTTTCTGTATTTGTCACACCAAATGACGGTCTAAGAAGAAAACAATAACATACAGAATATTCTGCAAAAAGACGAATACAAATTTATGTGAGCAAAAACCAAATATACAAACAGACAGCGCAAA